AAGAGAAGGCCTATTTAAATATATTTTTTAATTTGTTTTAATTTTGTATGTGGTATCAATTGTTCTGTTTTTAGTTGGCTGTAAGCCGCCCTGAGTCTACCAGGAGAAGGGCGGGATATAAATGCAATAAACTTGAAACAATAAACTTGAAACTAATAGTAAATTAGAAATGAGAAATGTGAGATTGTCCTTATGAGGCTACGTAGCTAATAGCAAATCGTGTTTTGCACATTACTGCATTATCTTCATGAAAGCAAAAAAACTGGATAGCACTTTAACATCAAGATATCAATGAGTGCAGAGAACATAGGTCAGAGTGCAGAGCGACAAAGAGACTATCAAAACCGAAATGGAATTCAACTTCCTGGGCTCTAAAATCGACTGCAGCCCTAAGATCAAAAAGCATAAAGCACTTGGAAGGGCTTCAATGTCCAACATGAATAACATCTAGAAGAATAAAGATATCAGTTTCCCAAGCAAATGCAGATTAGTCAACACAATAATTTATCTGATTGCTACTTATGGCTGCAAAACCTGGACTTTGAAAAAGGCAGATAGATTTGAATTGTGGTCCAGGGAAAAAAATATAGTCATACCCAGGAAACAACTATAGTCATACCCAGGTTCTATTTTAGAGCCCAGTATTTGACGGCTTTCAAACTCCTCGAATTTGGTACTTGATGCATTTTAATATAAAAATGTTGTCCCCAAATGTTTGTTTGGTACTTGCTTTGGTAGCTTGTTTGGTACAAGCTAGAACTTATCGGTGTCGGCTGCCTTGTGACTCGCTACCCTTTCTGGCCAAAACAAAAGGTCACGTATTAAGTCACTTGGTTTGGTACTTGTAATTTTTTAGTACTTCTCACACCTCCAGAGCCAATTAATGACAATTATCAAGGTACCTCTATATTATGCATTCCATAATATAGGTGGTGATGTGTGAAAGAGAAGCATCAACAGTGCTGATCCATGGAGTGGCCAAAGGTTGAACATGTCTGGATAGATGACGACAATGGCCTTATTATATTCAAGCGTTTCTTCTCCATTAGTTAGTTCAATTAGTTTGCTACATTGTTACATTGTGATAAATAATGTACAAATTCTAATGCATGAAAATATTTTCAGCTGATAAACAATTTGATTCCCTTGAATGGTAAACATGCTAATTAATTTTATTCTTAGTGATTTATTTCGAAGTAGCACTTATACAGTTCAGTCCTCGACTTACAACCACAATTGGGCTCTGAATTTTGGTCATAAGTCATTGCAGTCATTAAGTGAGGTGCCCACGTGACTGCCTTGATCAACGACCACAATCTCAGCCCTCCTATTTTTGGTTGCTAAACAACCCTGTGGGTCATTAAGCAGATGAGTCAAAGAGTTGCCTGCTGAGAGATAGTGTTTGCTAGCTTTCTGCTTGAAAAGCTAGCAAACGTGATATTTCAATATTTCTGAAAGGTAGAAAACTGGAAAAAAGCTTTGATCTTTGGGATGCAAATTTCTTTGCTCCAGCCCAATACTGAAGTTCCCTTTTATGCAAGGCAGACTCCAGTTCTGGGCTGAAAAAAAGGGGAGGGGGGAGAGGGAGTCCTTTCACAGGTGGCAGGAGCTTGTCATCTTTCCCTGTTAGCTTCCGTATTGAAATTCTGGGGAAGCCAGCAGACAATATTGCAAATAGTGATCACATGATAGCAGAACACTTGGCATAAGTGTGTGAACAGGTTGCCAAATGCTTGAAATTGGACTATGTGACTGTGGAGTGATATGGCAGTCACAACTTCAAGGAGAGCTTATAAGTAATTTTTCATGAGTGACTCCTAGCTTTGAATGTTTGTTAAGCAACTGATTGTAAGCTGAGGATTACCTGTATGTTAAAATTTAAATCATTTATATAAGTGAAATATATTAAAACAACAAAAAATATCATAAAATTCACATCAAATCTGTTTAAAACTACTAAATATTATTAAAATCCATGTAGAGAGGCAGTGTAGTCTAGTGGTTAAGACATCAAGCTAGAAACCAAGTGACTGTGGCTTACAGTCCTGCCTTAGGCACAAAATCAGCTAAGTGTTTTTGGGTCAGTCATTTTTTCTCAGCCCTAGAGAGGAGGCAATGGCAAACCACTTCTGAAAAATCTTGCTAAGAAAACTGCAGATGGTCTCCAAGAATCAGATATAATTGAATGGAAGGGGGGGGGAGAATATCCCGGTATCTAATTTTATAAAATCACCTTATCCCATGTGTTAAAAATTATTACAATTTGGGTTAACAAAAAGTAG